TTTTCCTACTAGGTGGAAACACTCATTTGTTACTCCCATTTTTAAAAGCGGGATAGGTGTAATATAGTAAATTACAGGCCTGTGTGTATTCAATCTTCTGTACCCAAGGTGCTCGAGAGGACGGTGATGCCTGTTCTTGAGAATAGCTTTAAGAATATTATAACTGAACATCAGCATGGCTTCGTAAGTGGGAGGTCAACTGTGACAAATCTATTTGCATATACTGATTTTATTAGCAACACTTTGGATCAAGGTTGTGAGGTGCATTCCATATATACCGATTTTAGCAAGGCGTTTGGTCTTTTGGATCAAAACATTTTATTGAATAAACTACAGAATTATGGTATTAGTGGCTCATTTTTGTCATGGTTGGTGTCCTACTTGCGAGGACGTTCTCTTCAAGTGAAGGTTGATGGATACCTCTCGTCAACTTTTAACGTTAAATCAGGCATACCACAGGGATCTCATCTTGGTCCTAGACTGTTTCTGGTTTTAGTAAATGATATTGGTCACTTTTTTAATTCAAATTATTTGCTTTTTGCTGATGATCTAAAACTCTTGAGATGCATAAGATCAAGTCAGGATTGTGAACTACTCCCGAAAGATATAAATGGGTTGATGGAATGGTGCGACTTGAATAATTTAAAGCTGAATAGAGACAAGTGCTCATATATTGTATTCACTCGCCATCGAAACTACACTGAGTACAAATATAGAATGGGTGACTTTGCGCTACCCAGAGTAAATCTTATTAAGGATCTGGGTATTTTCTTAGACAGTAAGCTTAAGTTTTCGGACCACTACCAGCATATTATTGCCAAGGCATGTCGAATGACGGGATTAATTATTAGAACATCTAGGGATTTTAGGGATTTGCGCTCTTTGGTTGTGATTTTCACTTCCCTGGTGCGCTCAGTGTTGGAGTATGGTTCAACAATATGGTGCCCCTATTATCTTACACATAAAAGCCGCATTGAGGCCGTGCAGAACAGGTTTCTGAGACATCTTCGATATAGATGTGGGTCAGGACATTCAGACATGGGGGTGGGTGCATTGAGAGAGCACTTTGGGTTGAGTTCGTTGGAGGACAGGAGAGTGTTTTTAGTTATGTGTTTTATGTTCAAATTGTTAAATAATATTATAATTTCTCCTCACTTACTACAGCGAATAAACTTTGCAGCTAACCCAAGAAATTTTAGGCATAATGATGTGTTGGCTAGTGGTAGATTTAACACTAGGCATTCCCAGAATATGCCTCTTAATCGGCTTGTTTCATATGTCAATGCTTCTGCAATGAAGACCTTGACTTTTGGGGGGTGTCCTTAAATACATTTAGAACCAGATTGGGAAGAAGTATCCTCTGAGTGCAATGTGTAAAAGTATATTTTTCTTGTCTTAAAAGTATATGTATTATATCTTGTTGTATACATTTTGAATGTTTTTTAAGAGTGTTGAAGTGTCTATATTATTTTATTTTTTTTACTTTATATTTGTATTTTTTTACTTTTTGGATTTATGAATGTAAAATGGTTTACCGTTGAAATAATAATAAAATAAATAAATTCTCCGCCAAGAAAATAAATGAAGTCCGTGATTTTTTTGTCCAACAAAAATCCCCGTAAAATCCCATAAAACACGTAACTCGAAATGAATGCGAAACCCATTACCAGGTACTCCAGTCCTAACACCCGGTACATTCTCGGTCGCCGTTCTCATATCCGAGAGAGCCGCCGAAAGGTGGCAAAAGTCGCGACTCTCTGTAAAAATACTGTAAATAGTCGATGGTTTGTGCAAACAGTGTGCCCCTTCGAACGTCTCCAACGTATATACCATGTCTTTCGTCTCCGTAGGTACGTACACACAGTACTCACGAAAATAAAATCAAACCAAACAGGTTAATGGCTGGTGGACGGTGTGCGGTACCAATTATCGGGTGCGCGGCGTATTCCGGTAGCGCTGGTTCGCCCGGGATCTAATCATCGCTAATTACAAAGTTTATGGTTTCGGTAGTACCAACGCCTCGGCTAAAGAGAGTGAGAGAGAAAGAAAATCGATAGATTTTGAAACGGTGGCGAAAAATGCTTTTCACAGCTCTCTGACTCAAATACATATTTATAATACTTCACCTTGTTATGTCATTGGATTAAGTACCTACCACCAGTAAAAAATAGTCGTTCGAATACTGATCTATTCGAAAGCTTCATTATCATCATGATCATTTTCAGTTAATTCAGCCATTTCCAATTATGGTGTAGCCTTCCTCAGATATTTATACCTAGATACACCCTTTGTAGTTAGACCCATTGTTGTCTATTGTTGGCTATGCAGGTATAAGTCATCATGGTCCCATCTTTGTCAGGTCGTCATTTTTGGTCTTCATTTGGTCTTCACAGGTCATGACTGGTAGTACACATTGGTCGAATGTTTTCTTCTTTCGATAAAGTAGCATTCTAGATTTGAATATGATTGAGTTTCTTCCATAAGTACTCCATGCTAACTTAATTTTTTGGTTGATTTCTGGTAGTAGAGATGCCGAGCTGTGTATTAGTTATCCCAAACATATGTATTCTTCTACTATTTCCAGTTATGTTTTATTTATTAGAATGTCTTTTCAATCTACTAATTCGTTGTACATTACCTTAGTATAGCGTTTTTTAAACAACCACTGCGAACGGCAGCTTTTCATCGGAGAGCAGTCGTGGATACGGTATTTCACTGGAAAGAAACTAACTAACAATAATAAATCAAAAATACAAATATTGGGCGCCAGGCATGAACAGAGAAAGAAAACACAGTTGTATATTACTTAAAACTAATGACTGTGTTTATCCATGATGAATTCTAATGGTAAATAGCATTGTAGAATTCTAGTAATTATAGTGGTTGTATGTCGAAGAAAGTTGTGTTAAAAATAGTATTAAATATATTTTATGAAAAGGACTATGATAAAATACAATATAGATAAAGCTATAGAAAATATATAAAAGGTAGCATTACTTTAATTAATTTGTTATATTTTATACGATATTAAATCTGAGATGTTTCAAGCCGTAGATTCTAGAATCTGTTCGGTTATTCATCTGTCAATATCACACAATAATAATATACATAGAAAGTCATACCATTACAAGATATGTTCGTAATGAACCTAAGATTTAAATCATATTTTAATTACTAAACTGACATAAAAAGGTTAACCACTAGACGTAAAGTCTGTACGATATTATTCAAGATGTATGTTATTGTTTTAAGACTGAAACTGTAAAACGTAAAACCAGAACTTAGCTGTTCGTTCTTGAAGCAATCCTGTTTCAAAGAGTAGCAGCGTGAGGTGGGACTCGTATCTCTGTACTCTCTCTCGGCCAATGCAGCAAAAGGGGCCAGGATGAGGACACCATGAACCAATACAGCCGTAACTATCGACTAGCCTTAAAGATAGGAGCAAAGCAGCATGGGGCTTACGCTATCAATACTGTGGCAATCTATACATGAGATAAACTATGGGTACAGGGGACACTCGTCCATGGGACATCTGTACATAGGGAAACTACCCGTACATAGGGCATCCAACCATAGGATAATGTCCGTACCTTGGAACACTATCCGTACCTTGGACCCTCGAAATACGAAACTCGTGTTTAAAACCTACCAGTGTAATAAACACAATAAACCTACCTCGAATTACTTCGGAGGGCTCAATAATAAACAAGGGCCACTGTCCTTTCTTCCATTTAACATTCTGGAGGACAAAAGCAAAAGAACACCAATGTACCAACAAATACCAAATACAAGTTGAGCTGAGCCAATACAAAACTCTACCCTGTAACTTCGAAATAGCAGCCGATTCAAATTATACAGCAAGATTTAAATAATTACCATTTCTAAAATCCGGGCTTAGATGGCGACCCTAACCAAAACTGACGTTACCTCGCGGAGAGCGAAACCGTGAAAATAAATGCCCACAGAGCAGCGCAGGATTGTCGACTTGAGAACGTTAGAACTACTCCAAGCGTTTCAAGTAGATTATCAGGCCTGAACGATACGGAATCGGGAGACGATACGCCAGACATCATATATCATATATAAAAAAGACATGTAACGAACTAAAAACGTTACATTAGTTTTTGATAAATTCATTTTGAGACCTACTTTATTGCTGGCTGTATTTAGTTCGTTAATTTGTGTTAGCAGCTCTTCAGGACTATTGGCAATTAGGACTATGTCATCAGCGAATCTTAGATGATTAAAATATTCTCCATCTATGTTTAATCCTTTGTTGGTCCAATGTAGTTCACGGAATATTTCTTCTACTGTTGCTGTAAACTTTTCACCTTCTTCCATTTCTCGCTGGAGAATTAGACGCTCAACGAACTATATGTATCAAATAGACTATTTTCCTCTTCTTGCTGTTTTCAAAGAGTTCACGTTCTAAACCAGCTCTAGGTACTGGGAATGCCTTCACTTCTCACACGGCTGACCCAGGACCTTCTCAGCATTCGTCATAGGGTCCATATTTCAAAGGCTTTGATTCTATTTATAGTTGTTTCTTTCAGTGTCTATGTTTCCACTCCATATAACAGAAAAAACCAGACATCGCACTTCATCGTCCTGTACCTAAGGCCGAAAAATTCAAGGTCTGATCTGTAAGAAACCTTCGAAGCTTTAGGAAATTTGTTCCAGCTTGTTCCATCCTAGGTACCTCCTGGATCTCTTATTTTGTTAATCGTGCATTACAAAATTTAAACTATATGACCTGTTTAATGTCCTCTCCATTTATGTGAATTCTGATGTTCGAAATGTCGTTTCTAACTAACAGCCATACATTTAGTTTTTCTGCTATTTATTTTTAGACCCAGTATTTGGCTTTTAAATGCGATAATAATAAATGTTAAACAGAACTAATACACACCATACGTAACCACACGATACGCGATGAGACACGTCTAGGTACCCACAATAACTATAGTTAACATTAAAAACAATATTTTGTGATATCTTACCTAGAGAATTGAGCCCGTAATGAGCTTGGTAGACGGTACTTGCTGCCGAACTACTGATTGGCAGCGCCGGACTTAATCCAGATCCTTGGTTCAGTTGTCCTAACGACTGACCAAAACTACCCATGGCCACTGTACCCTGACTGAGCTGCGTTAACCCTGAAATAAAATGATCGAAATAAACACAGAATATTATCACAGTTTAAAGAATATATACATATACAGTTGGCTCACTCTAAGGAATTCTAATGTTATTTTGACTTTAAAGGCGGCCCGTGACCCTTTACCCGTGACTTTAAAGGCGGCGAGGTGACAAAAAATTTGTACGTTTACCGGGTGCAGCGGAAGTGCTATTTTATCAGTCAGAATGCTGGCCGTATACGAGGGATCAACTAAAAATACTAAGGAATTTTAATATAGCAAGTAGAAAAATAAAAATACAGCACTAGTTTTATTGATTAACAGTTTTAGGCGTCTTTAATAATTGATCAATATTTATTTACTTTCTTTTTATTATTATTTAATAACATATCTCATAAACCGCAAATTCTAATACGGTTATGATATTGTTCTGGTGTATAATTTTCATATCTGTGGGATCCTATAAATTCTAAGGCACTTTTCCAGGCTCCACACCTACAAGTTATTTTCCTTATCAGACTCTACTTATATATATTATGGTGAATACATTAATATTAAAATATTAGATATATTATTCTATCCTAATTCTTTGGAATATGGAATTATCAATAGGGGAATTATTATTAATAATTATTATGGAAACCCCATATGAAAAATGTATTCTAAATACATATAATAAATTAATTTTTTAATATAATTTTACAATACAATTTTTTGTATTTTTTCTAAATTTTATGATTATTATGAACAGCAATTATAACTGTTAGTAGTTAATTGTGTAATATATTTTAATGTTTGATAAAATTTAGTAAAAACTGAAAAAAATTGACAATGGCAAGACAAGTTGTATCCAAGTACTTTTTATTACCTTTTGATGAAAAGGTAAATAATTCAATGTATGTATGTATGTATGTTGTATGTAGATAATTCAAGTTAAATGCAAACAGCTAAAAGCAAAACATGCTATAACTTAAGAAATATGCAAATATAATTTATTACAATATTTACTACTAATTGAAGAGCACACGGGAAAAACAATGAAAGTACCCAAAAGGGGTACACCTTTTGGTACCTAAATAAACGGGAACATCGATAACGGCCACATAGAAACAGTTTAAAAATGGGAAAAACAATATAAAAGTCCATGCGCAATTTGAATTAAAAAACGCTTTCCTGAACATTTATCATTTCTGGATACTCATCGTTTTTCCCATGTGCTCGTTAATTGTTATATTTACTGTTACATAAAATTTAGTAAAAACTCTAAAAAACTTGTCAATAGCAGAACAAGCTGTATGCACGTATTTTTATTACCTGACGATAAAATTTGGACTTTCCAGGTAGGTACCTAGTTAAAGTTAAATACAAACATCTAAAAAGCAAAACATGCTATTTAAAAAAATGCAAATATCTTAAAAAATAATTTAAGGTGCAATTTGCCCACCGGTAAATACTGGAAAATCCAAAACATAATAGTAAAGTATCTACTACTACTCTAACATGTCTACTAAAATAATAAACTAATTTTTAAAAATAAATATTTTGTGCATATTCGAGTAAAACCTTTTCTTAATTTATATGTATATTTTTAAAACAATTTATTCATCGTTGGGTTTCCATAATTATAATATACTTAATATGTCCAATACTTTAATTATTATATACTTAATATCCTATACTATACCGGGTGTTTAACGGGACATAGGAAATCCCATATAAATTTTAATGGGGTCAATTATTGGCTTCCCTAATTATTTTAGAGAATAATTCTATTTAAGTTTATTGAAGAGCACTAAAACCCACATTCAAGAGAATAACTTTAGATATTTTTGATTAGCCCGTTTACGAGTTATTGCCCATTTCTTTTTTAATATTTCTCCTTTCTTATGGCCCTGTATTTACTTATGAGCACCAGTCAAGGTAATAGATAACTGTCAAATGAAGTTGTCATTTCAGAAATTTATCTATTTAGTGCTTTATTATTATTGAAAACTCATTTCTACATCGGAAATCTTAAAGATGTATTTATAAATACAAATTAATATGAATTAAAGTAAAATAAAGTAATCAATTACAAGGTTAATTATAGTATTATTACAATATTCAATAACTTATTAATTTAGGTACTATTAAATTGTTAGAACTTTAGGATTTAAGATGTTCAAATATTCCTCTATCGACTGCTACACAATAACCCAGGCGATCATAAATTTCTCTTCTTACATTCGCTAGTTGGTAAACTGAAATTCTATTGCATTCGGCAGAAATTGCATTTTTTAACTCGTCTAGATTTGGGTATTATTTATCTTTGTGTATCCTGTTTTTTAAATGGCCCCAGAAAAATAAATCATTTGGTGAAATATCAGAGAACCTTGCTGGCCAATTTACTGTATGATTTAGGCCAATAACGTTCCCGTTAAAACTATTGTCTAAATATTCCAGAACAGCCAGGGTACTATGTGCCGGGCAGCCATCCATTTGGTACCAAACTTACTGATTTTCCCTAGCGGCATCATGTAAAGCAGGTAAAATATGATTTTCGAGTAGTTTCAAATAATATTCTGCATTTAAATTTCACGTAAGAAATAATGGCCCGATAATATTGTGTCCGAATATCCCTGCCTAAACATTTACTTTCTGTGGATATTGCGTCCTTGTTTCGACAAACCCGAGGACAAACCTGTGTTGGTTTTCTTTGTTCCAATATCGATAATTTCGAATATTGGGTTCATTATTTAAGGTAAACGTGCATTCGTCAGTGAAACATATGTTTTTTAAAAATTCGTTTGAAGCTTTTATTTCGATTTGTGTCCATTAAAAACTCGGAAAAGAAGCGGCAGTTTCTATGAAGCTACCGATTGGTAACAAAAAATCATTTGGAATTCCCGATCCGTTCAACAATCAACCCTTTGAGCAAGAGACAGGCGGGATCGGAGCGGTTAGCCTTGAAAAAACGAAGATGAAAGATAGGTTCGGATCGATCGTTGAACAGGCTGGATATTCGACGACAAACGTAATCAAAAATATTGATATTTTAATACAAATTTTGTAAAAGTGAATCAAATTATTACGTGTAAAAAACTATTTGTTACGCGTAAAAAACTATTTGTTATACCTAAAAAACTATTTTTTACGCGTAAAAAACTATTTGTCACACCTAAAAGACTATTATTTATGGGTATAAAACTATCTGCTACTCGTAAACAAACAAACAAAGTGCATATTAAATTATTTTTTAAGATATTTGAATTTTTTTAAATAGCATGTTTTACTTTTTAGATGTTTGTATTTAACTTTAACTACCTACCTGGAAAGTCCAAATTGTATCGTCAGATAATAAAAATACGTGGTTACAACTTGTTCTGCTATTGCCAAGTTTTTTAGAGTTTTTACTAAATTTTATGTAACAGCAAATATAACAATTGACGAGCACATAGGAAAAACGATGAGTATCCTGAAATGATAAATGTTCAGGAAACCGTTTTTTTTTTAATTCAAATTACGCATGGACTTTTATAGCCGAGTTTATATCGTTTTTCCCATTTTTAAATGCCTGTTTCTATGTGGCTGTTATCGATATTCCCGTTTATTTAGGTACCAAAAGGTGTAGCCCCCCCCCCCCTTTTGGTACTTTCATTATTTTTCCAGTGTGCTCTTTAATTAGTAGTAAATACTGTAATAAATTATATTTGCATATTTCTTAAGTTATAGCATGTTTTGCTTTTAGCTGTTTGCATTTAACTTGAATTATCTACCTTTTTATCAAAATGTCATAAAAAGTACTTGGATACAACTTGTCTTGCCATTGTCAATTTTTTTTCAGTTTTTACTAAATTTTATCGAACAGTAAAATTTATTACATAATTAACTACTAACAGTTATAACTACTGTTCATGATAATCATAAAATTTAGAAAAAATTCCAAAATAATTGACAATGGCAACACAAGTTGTATGCAAATGTTCTTTTATTACCTTACAATAAAATTTGGGCTTTCCGGGTAGGTAATTAAAGTAAAATGCAGACATCTATAAAGCAAAACATGCTATAATTTAAGAAATATGCAAATTATTATTGTATATATTAAAAAAATTAACTTATTATATTTATTAAGTATTCATTTTTCATATGGGGTTCCATAATAATTATTAATAATATTTACCCTATTGACAATTCCATATTCCAAAGAATTAGGATAGAATAATATATCTAATATTTTAATATTAATGTATTCACCATAATATGTATAAGTAGAGTCTGATAATTATTTTTTAAGTTTGATTTAGTTTAAGAAAAATGTATAAGAAACTTTACAAATACTATCTTCTGATATAACATTTTAATCTGTATTATCTAGATATATTTTTATTTGTAATATTTCACCATTTTACCTGAATATTTTTCACGTTTTATATGTATATAATAAGAATTTATAATCGTTATGTATTAACATTGATGGTAAAATATATAAATTATTTTGTTGTAAAATTAACATGAATAAATTAGTATTATAAGATAATGTACTTAACTAAAATTCGTTTTTTATTTCACATTTCAATTCATATCGTATTTATATCGGTAAACAATGAGATATGTTATTAAATAATAATAAGAAGAAAGTAAATAAATATTGATCAATTATTAAAGACGCCTAAAACTGTTAATCAATAAAACTAGTACTGTATTTTTATTTTTCTAAGAGTGGGTCAACTGATATATTTATATTCTTTAAACTGTGATATTATTAATTATTACGTCCGCCTATGACGAGAGATCTCATCTTAGAAATCGCTAAAGACGCTACAGAAGACAAACTGATTTGTTTTCATTTGAGTCTTTAGCGAGACACGCCGAACGCTACAAGCTTTTGGTCGGGCCATTCCTATACAGGGTTGTTCACCACATACGACACGGAGTATTGTAGCTAAACGATTATATTTTTACAAATTGTAAGTTTTGGTTTCGTTGAAGGATTATTAGAGCTACAATTTAAAAGTAATTTTACAAAATACAGAGTG